ATTATATATATATATATATATATATATATATATGTATATATATTATATATATATATATATATATATATATATATATATATATATATAGATATATATATATATATATATATATATATATATATATATATATATATATATATATATATATATATATATGTAAAATATATCGAATTATATTTATATAATTTAAATGAAGAAAAAATACACTTTTTTATGGAACTATTAGTTTCATGCCATTCGGCAATCAATCAGCCATATTGTTCAAAATTTACAAAATAAAAAACCGTTTAAAAATACAACTTTTAAGTGTTGCAACGGTGTCTGATGTCAAGTTTATGTCAGACGGTATCATGAGTTCTTAATCTCCGGTATCGAATTGTAAAAGCGGAGTTTTTTTTCAATGTCTGCAAGATGATACCAACTCAATTTTTTTATTAAGTAATGATCATAGTTCATAATTAATTTTTTTTCATATAGACAAAGTTACATTTTTCAGTTGATGGATTATATGAATGACACTTTCTAATTATGTTCCACTTGATTAACGGCATAACTCCTGCGTTTTTATGTTTCCATATTTTTTTAGAAATTTCTGTATTGTTTTGGTATCTAGTAGCGTTAAGTGTTTGGTATATGGATGGTATCGGATGGTAGCGTTAAGTGTTGGTACCATATGGATGGTATCGGATGTTGTTTCTAAATCCAGACTTTTCTAATGCATCTTAATAAATCGGGGCAGTATTTTTAAAAGTTATTTTGCTAGAAGAATTGGTTGATAACCTACGCTCAATTGAAGTTGGTAACTCTTTTAAAATATTAGGTGGGTGTAATTTAACGTACAATCAGGTTTGTGGTATGGTTGGAAACTATTGTTGTTAAGGTTCAATGTTACATCAAGGTAATTAACAATTTTCATATTAGATTGGATAGAAATACTAAAGCTGTTTTGCTTAAATATTTGCGTGAAATGTTTCTTAATTTTATCTATTTTAGGACCGCTTGCATTTTTGAACACAGCTAAACCATCATCTTAAGATATAAGAACTCATGATATCGTCTGACGTAAACTTGACGTCAGATACCGTTGCAACGCTAAAAAATTGTATTTTTAAACGGTTTTTTATTTTGTAAATTTTGAATAATATCGCTAAATGATTGCCGAATGACATTAAACTAATAGAACTAATATATATATATATATTGATATTATATATATATATATATATATATATATATATATATATATATATATATATATATATATATATATATATATATATATATGATTGATTATATATATAGTATATATATTATATATATATATATATATATATATATATATATATATATATACATATAAATATATATTTATATGTTTGTGTGTGTGTGTGTATATGTGTGTGTGTGTTTAATTATAAATGTCTGTATGTGTAGATACATATATATATTTGCTGCGGTTTGTAATTTTATTTTCAAAGTTTGTATTTTAAGGTTTCTTTTAGGAAAAATGAAATACCTACAAACAGTGTATTTATAATGCAAAACCTATCATTTGAATTATCAAATGTTACCAATATTAGTTTTGTCAATAAAAACCGTGTTGTCTTTTCGTATGAAGAAAACTTGGTTGCTTCCATTGGTTATACAATTGTTACTTTAATAGGTTGGTGTTAGTAAAATTTTATTTATTTATTAAAACTTTAATTTGTTAGATAAGGGATAGTCAATAAATCGAAACTCGATTTTCAGTTTTGAGCAGCTTAAAAAGATTTATTTATGCAAGATACTCTTTTATAAAAAAATTGAACGTCCGCTCATTTTTTTCGTTTGTTAGTTATCCAGCTTAGGCATCTTGGAATATTGTACCCAAGAGGTCTTAGGTGCGATACTGGCTTTGCCAATAAATGTTTTATTAACATATTTAATAAATAAAAGTTTATCTTTTAAAAAAGCTCTTGTAAACTAACATTTAAAAGCAGATTAAAATAGCACGTTTACGGAAAGAAGTTTTTTCTAAATGTAAACTTTAGACATATTATAAAAAACACAATTAATATATTATAGATAATTTTTTAGATAAACACTTTATAATCATTATGTAACAGGTGAAAATAAAAATTAGTGAAAAAAATAGACTTTTGTTTTTGTTGCGTCCTGAAAAATATTCAATTATTAATTCAAAAAAATCATCAAAGATGGCATTGATCGTTGATATATAAATTTTAAATCAAAATATTTTTTGATTTAAATTGTATCAACAATGTTAATACAATTTAAATTATTTTTTAAACAAAGCATGGGGGTTGAAACAAAATCCATTAACAAAGTGATATCAGTTATACAAACGTATTAACAAAGTATTAACAGCTATACAAAAGTATTATTTAAGAGGAAACTCTATTTACAGTAGTAAAAAGAGTTTCCTCAATTCTTGCTATGAGTTTCAAAAAACTTCTCTCTAATAGAGATAAATTTCTTAAACGTTCATAATTGTTAATTAGACATTTGTTATGTGTACAGTTGGATTCAAAGTTATTTAAGTATTTTTCCTCCTTTTTTTACTTTGAACTGCGCTTTTGTTAACAAATCTTGTAGAATCACGTATAAATAATCTGACATAAGATTAGCATTGATTCTATTTTATACCTCAAGATTAAGATAGAAATTGGACTTCATCTTAGTTCAGTGTTTGAGTTCAGCTTTACTTTAGAGCAGGAAAGTAGGTGCATACAAATAAAATTATGAAGCACCATCTGAACAATATCTAATTCAATTTAAGGCATTAAAGATCTTAAATATTTGTTAATTATTCAGAAAGAAAAATTGTTTTAGTAACATAAAATTTAAATTTGATTAAACGATTTGATCGTATTTTTATGAATACTTTTAAAAATAATTTGATAAATTGTTTTTAAAGATTTAAATTGAAGTTTTTTAAATTCATTAAAATTTGATTTTTTTTTTTGATGGAAAAATGTATTTTCTAAACAAGTTATTTTTATTTTTATTATTGTTATTGTTATTATACTTGTTATTATACTTGTTACTATTGTTATAATTGTTATAATTATTATAATTGCTATAACTTTTATTATTTTTATTATAGTTCTTATTGTTATTATTATATTTAACACTTTTAACAAGGCTGCTAGCAAATACTATTAGAGTTGGAAGTTATCGGAAGTGAAAAAGATGAATGTTTTAGTGCAAGAAAACGATTAACAGGTGACTTATGAATCAGGAAAGCAAGAAAAAGTAAGCGAATTCCGAAGAACTGATGTTTGAGGAAAAAAAATAGACAAATAAAACTTTTCGCAGTACTTAGGGAAAGTCACAGTAAAAGGCAGAGATTCAATTTTCAAATTGATAAGTAACAAGAGAATGGGTTTTAGTAGATGGCACAATTGACGCAAGCTCTTTAGAGTAGTTCGCATTTTAGTTTTTATAAAAAAGAGAAACAAAAGTAATACGACAAACATTACGACATTAAGATGGTTGAAAGTTGGCTGCAAGAGCAAGTTCAAATATGTTTGCAATCCGTTTTTACACCTAAGCTAAAAGAGAGAGAGCATCATTGGAAGATCCGCCAAAGTTATGGCAACAATATTCCATACAAGGGCGGATTTAGGATTTGGAGAGATAAAGAATAGAATCCTTAGCATAAAAGGGGCGACACGATAATGAGATGTAACCTTAGAAGATACTACTTTTAGAATCAATTTGTTATATATTTTACAAGAATGATTGGAAATAAAAATTGTTCCTAGAAGATGAAGGGTAGATGAATTATTGAGTACATTACAGTTCATAAATATAGAAAGATCTAAGTTATTGCAAAATGAGTTTTTTCTGAGTTTACATCCACCAAGCGCTAAAAGGCGTATGCTAAAGCCAAAGTGAGATCCTTTCATGCTCAAATGTACCCTCCAAACAATCAGATTGTGTTGCCTTCTTATGAAAAATAAATGGTAGTATATCAGCTAACAATGCCACCTTAGATGTTAGAAATTTTGGGAAATCGTTAGTGCAAATTGAAAAAAGTATAGTCCAAAGGATCTAACCTGGAGGAACCCCTAAAAATGCAGGATAAAAATGATTGTTGTTCATTGAGAACAACTTTTATGCTGCGATTGTTTCGGAAAAATTTAATAAACTTAAAGATGCTACTTAATACACTGTAAGGAGAGAGCTTATAAAGATAATTAGTACTCAAACTTTATTTAAAGCGTATAGAAGTGTTAAGAGCAATAATATTACCCTCTCCACATCTATCTAATGAACGAAAAAAAGTGAGAAGATAAATGGGACTGTAGTAAGACTAGTCAGATCGCTCTCCAGAACCTTTGAAAATAAGAATAACATAAGTTGCTTTCCAACTTTCTGACTCTGACCGCAAGACTCAGCTAAGTGCTTATTAAAAAGCTTTGAAAGATTCGAGAAAAGTTCCAGTGAACTCATTTGAAAAACTATTACAAGTATATTGTCCTGACCGTAATCCGAAAAAGAATTTCGGCAGGAAATCACTTTAGGGATACAGGAGATACAGAAGCTGGAGTGGTACAAGCGTCAACCAATGAAATAACCTATTTGTCGGCCATATCAGGTAAAAAGCCACTAGTGAAATCAAGAGATGATATTGGTGTGAAGATCTTAGAAAACAATTAAGCTTTGTCTTTATGTGAGATGCCAAAATCTGAATCATACAAGAGAGGTGTAATAACACATTTGCTCTGATAATAGATACTGTTAAAGTTTCTCAAGAAGTCACAAGACCCTAATTTTTGAGAATTAGAGATTTTTTGAGACCCTAAATTCTGAGGTGATAAACGAGGTTTTGTAGACTGTGAAAAGAAGGCTTTTGAGTGACGCAAGACTTTTCTTCGATGGTTTCTAGTATAAGTAAACAGTTGCCTGTTTTCTGGAAAGTTATCAGCTGATAGATTTGAAAGTAATAGTTACGATTGGAAATTCCAAAAGTACAATCTCAGAAAAACCATGACAAAAAGTTAGACTTGACTTGTTGAAAGAGAACAATTCCATGCCAGCTTAAATCCAAGAAGTTACGTAAAAAACACCTCTGTTAGCAGGTGGACAAAAGATTTCTACCCAAGGGTTATCACAAAGAAAATCACGAAAGAGTCCTAAACAGCTTTAAGGTAGTTGCAAATGGTACGATGATAGAGAGATTCTATTGACAAAGAAAAATGAGATAATAGTACAAAAAATATTACAAAATATTACAAAACATTAAACTATGATCAGAAGTACCCAAGGGTGATTTTGGAGAGATGAACACTGAGTTGGATCAGAAACAAGACGTAAGTCAAGTAGTGAAGGCTAAAATTTCGGATTGCCTAGAAAACGAGTTGAAAAGGTGGCAAATTGTGTTAGAAACTGAAAATGGCGGTTTATTAAACTCTTTTCTAAATATTTTTTAAACAACACTCGAAGAATTTTAATCCGCTTACAAAATGAAAAAATTTAATAAAGCGGTTGGACCAGACGATATTAATGGAAATACTGTTATTGGTACCTAAGACATTATTAAAAATGTTATTATATTCAATATGTCTGTTGAAATAGTACAGAATATATTTAGCGTAAAGCATATTACATAATAATTTTCAATAAACTGCATTCAAAAACTAATGCAACTGACAATAAAAAAAATTTTAAATAAAAAAATTCAAAACACACAATTGTGATATAATGGAAAAACAACATTTCTTGTTGTACCCTTAAAACTATAACTTTGCGTTTGAGTTCAGGTTTTTCAACAGTTTTTCTTTTTACAGAGGCATTTTTTGGCACAGAAAATATTTTGTTATAATTGGAACTGCATAGTACAACAAAGAAGTCATTAAAGAGGTGACATAGACTGGCGACGTGGAATTATTAAAAAAATTAAAGAATCAAAATTGATTTCGATAACCTGTGCCAATTGACCATTTTTCAAAAAAACCCAGCTATTTTTTTTTGTTTTTTATTACAATATCTAATACAATATTTACAAATATATCAATAAGAAAAATTACATGCAAGGAAACCGTTGAAAAATAAAAAACAAAGATAAAGAACGCGGATACTCAAAGAAAACCATACAGGTCTTGTCACCGAGAACCGCTGTTGAAGAACTTTGAACTTAATTTAGATTTTAGAAAAAAGAAAAATAAATAAATATGAATTTTAAACTTTTCTTTAGTTATGGTATTTAAATTACTAATTCTTTTGAATAGCATGAATCAAGCGAAAACAAAAATATCATCATATTCTAGATAAACGAATGCGTCTCGCATCTTACTCGCATCTATAAGATCTCTGAATCTTGTTACTCAAACGTATCTTAAAATTACACTAATCTTAATTGTTAATTAATTAATAAATATGCGAATATATATACATATATATATATATATATATATATATATATATATATATATATATATATATATATATATATATATATATATATATATGTATATATATATATATATATATATATATATATATATATATATATATATATATATATATATATATATATATATGTATATATATATGTATATATATATATATATATATATATATATATATGTATATATATATATATATATATGTATATAAATATGTATATATATATATATATATACATATATATATATA